CAAACAATCTTTTAACTTTGTGGTTTCCTAGATCAGTCTCTAGAGCAGTGATGGCGAACCTATGACACGTGTGTCAGAGGTGACACGTGAACTCATTTTTTTGGTTGATTTTTCTTTGTTAAATGGCATTTAAATATATAAAATCAATATCAAAAATATAAATCTTTGTTTTACTATGGTTGCAAATATCAAAAAATTTCTATATGTGACACGGCACCAGAGTTAAGTTAGGGTTTTCAAAATGCTGACATGCCACGCTCAAAAGGTTCGCCATCACTGCTCTAGAGGGAGATTTTCAGATGATTACATGGACTTCTGGACTTTCTAAATAATTTTCTTACTGTAAATCGGTAATTTCCACTTACTTAACTAAGTTGCTTTACCAAAGGAAAGGAATGTACCATTTTTACAGGCATAAGCATGCTAGCTACCAGTGTATTGCGGTCTTATCCTAAATTATTATACCTCATCTCAGGATAGTGACTCAGTGAGCTTCACTACTTCTCCCAGAGATGAACCTGCTATGTGCAGGTGAAATTAAGGATTTTGTTCTGCAAAGCTGAGGACTAAAAGTTCAAGTTTATATATTTAGCATGATCGGAATGTTACCCACGGAGACCTGGACAGAACCGGTAAACTTCTTTGCAGACTATTATACGTCTGCATACTCATTGACATTTAAATAGAATTATTATTAAAGTAATAACTAGATATAATTTAAAAATAAAAGCTATTACTTCGCCTATAATAAAAAAAAATCCCCATTCCTGCTACTCAGAGGCAACCACTTTTAACTCTTCAGGCTATTTCTTCTGGTATTCACCTCCATATTTCAAAATTTCATGCTTCTTGAATTGATTACTTGGTTTTTAAAGTTTTAGGCACTTTCTATTTCATACTATGGAAGAAGAAGAGTTTTTCTATCTTACAAATACTAACCAATCTATATCCTTGGTGCTAATACATACACACACACCTTTACAAATAAACAACCTTTGAAAACAACCTTTACAAATAAACCTTGTTAATAACTATTATCTCCTTTAGCCTCCTTATACATTTCAGTAACTTTTTCACAATTACCATTATTTGTGCAACCTAGTATATTATTAGCACTTGGCCTAACCACTTTTTGAGTGTTTATTTTTCTGTGAAGTCTTCAATGTACATGTAAAAATAAGTTTGTATACTTTTCTCCTGTTAGTCTATTTATGTCAAATTAATTTTCATGCCTAGCAGGAGATCCTAAGTGGGTAGAGAAAAAGTTTTGCCTTTCTTACATGTTGAAAGGTTTATTTTAGTATCATACTTTTAATTTTCTTCTTTTGTAGCAAAACATTTTTTGGCTGTTTCCTGGATGCTGTATTTTTTTTTTTTCAGATTGTTGCAGCATCTTCTCTTCTCTTTTTAACAAAATTGATGTCAATGTTTTAGAGTTTTCTTTTGTTTCCTCCCGTATCTCTCTTTTCTCTGTGTTTTCTGTTTGTTCAGTTTCTGTATTCCATGTTAAAGATTCTCTTGGTTAATTGGTGGTTTCTGGTTGACAATTTTTAAATAAATATTAATGGGAGTTGTTTCTGGACATAATTTGCCAATTTGTGGACCTTGCCACAGGGACCAATGGAACACATAGACCAATGGAATGGAAACGAGGCTCCAGAAATAAACACACAATATTGGGTTGACTAATATTTGACAAGGGAGCCAAGAAGACTTAATGAGGAAAGGATAGTCTTTTCAATAAATGGTGCTCAGAAAACTGGATAAGTACATGCAGAAAAATAAAATTGGACCATATTTTACCCCATTAACAAATTTAAGTCAAAATGTATCAAAGATTACAATGGAAGATTTGGAACTCTAAAATTCCTAGAAGAAAATATAGGGAAGAGGCTCTTTAACATTGGCCTTAGCAAGATTTATTTATTTTTTGGATATGACACCAAAAGTGTAAGCAACAAAACCAAAAATAAACAAGTAGGACTGCATCAAACTAAAAAGCTTTAGCATAGCAAAAGAATAAGGCAAAATAAAAAGGCAACCTAAGGAATGGAAGCAAATATTTGCAACCATCTATCTGATAAGGGGTTAACGTCCAAAACAACTCAACAGCAAAAACAAAACACACACACACACACACCCCAAACAAAAAAACAATCCAATCTAAAAATAGGCAAAAGAACTGAATAGCCAGTTTTCCAAAGAAGACAAGCAAATAGCCAACAGATGCATGAAAAGGTGCTCAGTGTTACTAATCATCATGGAAATGAAAAATTAAAACCACAGAGACATCACCTAACAACTTTTAGAATCTATACTAATAAAAGAATAATATGCTAATTAGACTGGGAGACCTACGGAAGACCTTCTGGATGTCCTTCCGGACAAAGCTGGGGGCTTGGCTGGCCTGCAAACCACCCCCAAACAGCCCTCAGCCCCTCTCCCAAGCTGGCCACACCCCCCAGTGGGGAACCCCACCCTGATGAGGGTGTGGCCAGCCCGCAACCGCCCCAGGCCTCTCGCCCAGGCTGGCCCCTCCCCACAAGGGGACCCCTACCCAGATCCAGGACCCTCTTCAGGGCAGACCAGCCGGCCCTCACCCATGCACCAGGCCTCTATCTATGCTAATAAAATGGTAATATGCTAATTAGACCGGGAGCCCTTCCGGGAGACCTTATGGACATCCTCTTGACAAAGCCATGGTGGCGGGCTGAGGCAGCGGTGGTTAGAGGTGATCAGGCCAGGAGGGGAGGGCAGTTGGGGCGATCAGACCAGCATTGTGTGGGGCTGTTGGAGGTGAGCAGGCCGGCAGGGGGGGCAGTTGAGGGTAAGAAGGCAAGCAGGGGAGGCAGTTGGGGGTGAGCAGGCTGGCAGGCAGAGTGGTTAGGGGCGATCAGGCAGGCAGGCAGGTGAGTGGTTAGGAGCCAGCAGTCTCAGATTGCGAGAGGGATGTCCGACTGCCAGTTTGACATCCCCGAGGGGTCCCAGATTGGAGACGGTGCAGGCCAGGCTGAGGGACACCCCCCCCCTCCCTGGTGTATGAATTTTATGCACTGGGCCACTAGTGGTTATTTTAAAAAAGATGAGATAACATGAGTAGGTGAGAATGTGGAGAAAAGAGAACTCATATCTTCGTGGAAGTAGTATGAAGGTTCCTCAAAACATTAAAAATAGAACTATTTGTTTCCTTCTTAATAGACTTATTTTTTTAAAGATGTACTAACATTTAAGAACAGCTTTATTGAGATAGCATTAACTTCTGGGTGTATACCCAAAAGAAATTTAATGACTATTTCAAAAAGATATCTGTATCCCCAGTTCATTGCAGCATTATTCACAATAGCTATGACATGGGAACAGCATAAGGGCCTATCAACAAATGAATGGATAAAGATAATGTGGTACATATTTATACAATGGAATATTATTCAGCCATAAAAAGCAGGAAGTCCTATTATATGCAATATCATGGGCATTATGCTAAGTGGCATAATTCAGGCAGAGAAAAACAACTGCATGTTCTCACATACATGTGGAATAAAAAAAGCTGAACTCAAAAAAGTAGAGTAGAATGGTTTGCTAGGTGTTGAAAAATGGGAGAAATGGGGAGATGTTTATCAAAAGGCACAACCTTTCAGCTATAAGATGAATAAGTTCTAGGATTTAATGTACAGCACGGTGACTATAGTTAATAATACTGTATATATACTTGAAAGTTATTAAGAAAGTAGATCTTAAATGTTCTGACTCACCCCCTTTCTCACTTCCCCCTACACAATGATGATTATGTGAAGGAATGGAGGTATTAACTAGTCATATTATGGCAATCATTTTGCAATATATATATATATATATATATATATATATATATATATATATATATATATAAAATCTTCACATTGTACCCCTTAAACATACATATGTGATACCTTAATGCTATCTCAATAAAGCTGGGAAAAATAGAAATAAATATGAGGAAGAAGAACCACAGGATGAAATAGAGGATGAAAGAATAAATATCTCTACTGTTAAAGAGAATAACAGAGACCCAAAGAATTCACCTTGCTTAAAGGTAGAATGAATCCTTTCTGACCTCAAAGAGAATCCATGATTTCTTCCTCCCAGGCATTTGGGGCTTGAACCAATACACTTTTGCTTTTGTCTTTATTCTACTTCAGAGAGCTGCTCTGAAGACTTTTAATTCATGTAGTCCAAATATTTCCCCTAAGAGGTGGGCTCACTCAGAAGTTTGTTTCCTTCTTAATAGATTTATTTTTGAAAGGTGTGCCATCAGTTAAGAGCAGGCTTTATTTTCATAGAAATAGGGATCATATTCCACCCAGGATACTTTTGATAACAATTTTAGCTGTTTTCTGTTGCCCTTAAAGAAACATGCTACCCCCAGGGCTTGAGCAATAGGAAGCTAAAATGATTAGCGTTATCCCACAAGAGGATTAAAGTGGGTAGAGGAAAGCATCAGCACATAATATAAAATGATGGAAAACTAGGTTAGACCTTTTAGCAGGCTGGGTTGCTGTCCTTTGAGGGGCAACCCTGAGACCTACGAATGCATTTCCACAATGGCTGCCAGTCACCACTGCATTTCTGTTCCTTGCTAAGATCAAGGCCAACTTGTGTTCTCAATAAAGAGACCAGGCTTGAAAGAAGTTGGTTTTCTATTTACTTATTTTTATTTATTTATTTAAAAATATTTTTATTGATTTCAGAGAGGAAGAGAGAGGGAGAGAGAGATAGAAACATCAATGATGAGAGATAAACATCTAGGCTGCCTCCCACATGCACCCCTACTGGTGATTGAGCCTGCAACTTGGGCATGTGCCCAGTCCTGAATCAAACCGAAACCTTCTGGTTCATGGATTGTCACTCAACCACTGAGCCATGCTGGCAGGGCAGGAAGTTGGTGTTTTTTTTCCAGGAAGTTGGTTTTTTAAAAAGATTTCTTATTGAAAAAAAGGTCTTGCAAAACTATCAGCATCATTATCAATATTTTGCTTTGCTTATCTGCATGTCATCCTTGTTCTGGGGCCATGCTAATCTCTGTATTGATCCAGTTTTACTGTATGTGCTGACAAAACCAGCACATTGCTTTGTTCATTTGTGGCGTGTACAGAGGTGATGCCAAAAAGGAGCTTCTTCCTCATAACTGCCTCCAGTTAAGTGGAAAATAGCGATGATTTAAGTAAATGCTATTCATTCAACAAAAATGTACTAACAGCCTTCTTTGGGGCAGGCACTGTGTAGGCCCTGGGACACAACATGATTCCAATGTGACAAGATTCCTGAGATGTTCGCAATCTCATGAGGGATATAGACAGCAATGAAATAACTACACACAAAAATGTAAATTGCAACAATAATAAGTGTTATCTAAGTGAAAAGCCCTTAGATTAGGCCTTTTTAGGAAGTGACAACAACAGAAAAAATGAGTAGCTATGAACTTGGAGAGGATAGAAAGTGTGTGCGGACTCAGGGCCTGGGTGGGAGGGAGCATGGTGAGGAGGCACTGAGAGAAGACAAGTGGAGAGAATTTGGGAGGACGAGGGGATGAAGGTAGGTGTCAGATCATCAAAGGTTTTGACCATAGTACATTTTGTGGGCCGTGAAGATGTTCTGTCCTTTTCCTAAACATAAAGGAAAGGCATTCAAGGGCTTTAAAAGGCGCGTGTCTCTGGCGTTCCTACATCTGTGCTTTGTTAAGACCACCATGGCAGCAATCTGGAGAATGCTTTGGAAAGGCAAGGGTGGGTGGTAGAGCACGTAGCACTCATCAAACCTCACTGAAAAATTGTAACATGAAAGCAGCATTTCATCTCTAAGAGAATAAAGCTGTAAAGGATGTCAAAAATTTAATCTGATATTCTCCTTTCAGACCTGGGGATGTTACAAACTTTCAGAACAAATGACTTCATCAAGTCTCCAAAAGAGAAAATCTACCATATCTCTTGGGAACAGATACTGACATTTGACTTTATTACAGAGGATCCCATTTCAGTGTTTTAAAATGCTGTGCCTCTTATTGCATAACCTTCACAACAACATTGAGAAGCAAGTTGGCATCACAAGCTTGATTTTATACACGTGGACTTTAAGAACTTAGGTGCAGAGGGTAGTGACATATCCTAGGTCATGAAAAAAATTTAGTAGCAGTGACTTTCTTCCCAGCCTTCCAGTTCCCTGAGTTGTCCAGATGACCTTGCATTTAACAGAAATATCCTGGAGCACTTAGCGTTGGATGCAGTCAAGTGTAATGTTTTAGACTCCTTGGACGTCCCCCTAATGCTATTCCAAGCATGAGGCTATGCCTTTCACCTAAGTTTTTGCTTTTTATGTACACACTAGAGAAAATTCATGCATCAGGGGGGTCCCTAAGCCCAGCCTGCACCCTCTTGCAGTCCAGTTCCCCTCGGGGGATGTCCACCTGCCAGCTTAGGCCCGCTCCCAGGGGGATGGTGCCTAAGCTGGCAGTCAGACATCCCTCTGGCAGCCCGGGAGCCCTCAGGGGATGTCCAACAGCCAGGGGAGCAAGCCTAAGCCTCAGTTGGGCATCCTTAGTGCTGCCGAGGAGGCGGGAGAGGCTCCTGTCACCGCCACTGCGCTCACAACTGTTAGCCCGGTTTGTGGCTGAGCGGAGATCCCCCTGTGGGAGCACACTGACCACCAGGGGGCAGCTTCTGCGTTGAGCATCTGCCCCCTGGTGGTCAGTGCACATTATAGCGACCGGTCGTTCCAGGTCATTCTGCCTTTAGGGTCAATTTGCATATTACCCTTATATAGGATTATGTGCATTTTCCACTTAATTTCACCAATCCCTCTATGCTACTTATTAACCTTTAGTGGTAGGTTTATAGACAATAGTTTTATGAACTTGTAAGGATTTTGCTAAGTTTTCAGTCTTATCCTATACTGACTCAACCAAACCTGTGTGTCCAATGTAGTGCAAATGGTGGGGTTTTCAAAGGATTGATGCATGTTAATCTCATGGAAAATTTTGTACATAATTTTTGGCCTTCTATGTAAACTTTCTCCATTTCATTTTTTCCTTAGGTGATAAAACATGAAGTCTATAAATGTTTTAAAAATTAAATCAAATTATACCAGTAATATTCTTTTCTAACAGTTGATTTTAATTAACCTCTCTTATTTAATCTAACTTATAATATTGACTCCCCATTTTCTAGAGTTTCCTTTTTTTTTTGTTAACCCTCACCCAAGGACATTTTTCTATTGATTTTTAGAGAAAGCAGAAAGGAGGGGAAGAGACACACAAAGAGAAACATCAATGTGAAAGAGACACATAGATTTGTTGCCTCCTCACATGCTTGGGATTGAGCTTGCACCAAGGTATGTGTTCTTAACTGGAATTTAACCTAGGGCCATTCAGTCCGCAGGCCAACACTCTATCCACTGAGTTAAATCAGCTAGGGCTCTAGAGTTTCTAAGAAGTTTTAAGTGTATATGATGTTCTAAAACAATTTCTGGAGAATGTCAGTGGGAGTAAGTTTTAATGATCTTTCTTCTCCCCAGACAGGCATTCTTCTGGCTTAGAATCGGAACTAAAGATTTTTCTTTCTTTTTCTTTTTTGAACTAACGATTTTTCAATAGCTCTTTTTAAATTGTATCAGAGAAAGTAGTTTAACCAGTTTGATTATTCACCACAGTAGCACATTATCACAGAAGAAATTATTTTTGTATCATAAAAAGATATTATAATTGATACTAAAATTTATCTTTGAAATACTGGCCAAACATATAATGCTACATCTGGGTCATTCAACTCTAATTACCTGAATAATTTAGGCCAAGCATGTTAAACTCAAAGGCTAACTTGGGCCAAATAAACAAGGTTTAAGTTTATGTGGGCCGTCAAAAAACAAAAGCTTCAATTTTCATAGAAACATGGGTTTATTTTGATAGAGACATGCTGAATACAAAGGGCTGAAATATGAGTAATCGTTAACATAAAAAATAGAATATTTTTTTTAATTAAATCTTTATTGTTCAGATTATTACATTTGTTCCTCTTTTTTCCCCCCATAACTCCCCTCCTCCCAGTTCCCGCCCCACCCTCCGCCTTCACTCCCCACCCACTGTCCTCATCCATAGGTGCACGATTTTTTGTCCAGTCTCTTCCCGCATCTCCCACACCCCTTTCCCCCCCAAGAATAGTCAGTCCATTCCCTTTCTATGTCCCTGATTCTATTATGATCACCAGATTATTTATTCACTTGATTCTTAGATTCACTTGTTGATAGATGCATGTTTGTTGTTCATAATTTGTATCTTTACCTTTTTCTTCTTCTTCCTCTTCTTAAAGGATACCTTTCAGCATTTCATATAATACTGGTTTGGTGTTATGAACTCCTTTAGCTTTTCCTTATCTGTGAAGCTCTTTATCTGACCTTCAGTTCTGAATGATAGCTTTGCTGGATAAAGTAATCTTGGTTGTAGGTTCTTGGTATTCATCACTTTGAATATTTCTTGCCACTCCCTTCTGGCCTGCAAAGTTTCTGTTGAGAAATCAGCTGACAGTCGTATGGGTATTCCCTTGTAGGTAACTGGGTTTCTTTCTCTTGCTGCTTTTAAGATTCTCTCTTTGTCTTTTGCTCTTGGCATTTTAATTATGATGTGTCTTGGTGTGGTCCTCTTTGGATTCCTTTTGTTTGGGGTTCTCTGCGTTTCCTGGACCTGTAAGTCCATTTCTTTCACCAGGTGGGGGAAGTTTTCTGTCATTATTTCTTCAAATAGGTTTTCAATATCTTGCTCTCTCTCATCTTCTGGCACCCCTATAATTCTGATGTTGGTACGCTTGAAGTTGTCCCAGAGGCTCCTTACACTATCTTCGTATTTTTGGATTCTTTTTTCATTTTGCTTTTCTGGTTGGGTGTTTTTTGCTTCTTCACATTTCAAATCTTTGCCTTGATTCTTGCGCTCCTCTGGTCTGCTGTTGGGAGTCTGTATAGTATTCGTTATTTCAGTCTGTGTATGCTTAATTTCTAGTTGGTTCTTTATCATAACATCGAGGGTCTCATTAGTTTTCTTGAGGATCTCACTACATTTATCGGCAGCTTCTAGACAGTTCTTAAGAGACCTTAAAAGTGTGGTTCTGAACTCATTATCCTCCATTGACAGTTTTGTCCTGTTTCATTGTCTCCGCATTTTTTATGCTTTCTTGGTACATCCCCTAGTGCTCTTTGTGCGCAGTCTTGTTGTAGTTAAGCCTTGATTGTTGACGGCAATACTGGGGGTATTTTGACCTCCAGGCTAACTGGCTATGAGAGTCCGCTGTGTCTGCAGTGGGAGAGCTTCTGTGCTGGATCTCTAGGGCGGTGCTAATCTAGCCTTTGCCTGAGGCTATCCGGCAAATGGCTCTGTGCAGGGCTTGGGCGGGGCGGGTCCCAGGGGATCTACAGGGCGGGCCGGAGCGAGCAGTTATGGCTGCTCTCAGTTCCGTCCCCAGGGGCTCTGCCTCACAGAGTCCCAGCAACCGCTGCAAACCTCGGAGAGAAAGCTGCCTTCGAGTTCCGACCTAAGCCAGACAGTCCCGCTTCTCCCGTTTGAGTCTGGGTCCGTAGAGACTCGCCTGGATCTGGAGCTCAGAGTCTGAAACTCCCTCCCAATTGAAAACAACAACCGCGCACTCCGCACCTGAGTATTTCACTTCAGCACTGCGCCTCCTCTGAGTCTGGGTATGATATTCTCTTTCCTCCTAGTTGTAGAATTTCCACTCAGCCAGCCTTCCTGTGGTTCTGGATGATGTCCGTTCCGTCTTTAGTTGTTTTTTGAAGTGGTTGTTCGAGGCAGGAATCTCCGGCGTTAACCTATGCCGCCATCTTGGTTCTCAAAAATAGAACATTTTAATAAAAATTAATATTTTTTCTTGAACATTAACTTACCAGACACTGAATAACTGCACAAATTAATAAGTGTGATGCAAATAAACCTATTTTTCTTGTTCTCCAAAAGCAAAATATTTCCTGTTGCGCATACCAAACAAGTCAGTCCAAGACTAATGACGTGGCATTCGGCTGCTAAAATATTCGCTGCTGGTATTAGTGGAGAGAAATGGTGCGCCTGCACATA